ACTCCCTCGCCGACTATACAGGAGGTCGTGGGTTCGATCCCGACCCTGACGCCTGCTGTATATTTGGAGTTTGCGTGTCTCTCTCTCTTATCATCATTACGGTGGCTAGGAGATGTTAACTACCTCGCATGGTGTACAGGAGGTCGTGGGTTTCATCTCGACCCTGACGTCTGCTGTATATTTGGAGATTGCGTGTCTGTCTCTCTCATCATCACGGTGGCTAGGTGATGTTAACTATCTCGCCTGGTATGCAGGAGGTCGTGGGTTCGATCCCGACCCTGACGCCTGCTGCTGTATATTTTGAGTTTGCGTGTCTCTCTCTTTCATCATCATCACGTTGGTTATGAGATGTTAACTACCTCGCCTGGTGTACAGGAGGTCGCGGGTTCGATCCCGACCCTGACGACTGCTGCTGTATATTTGGAGTTTGCGTGTCTCTCTCTTTCATCATCACGGTGGCTAGGAGATGTTAACTACCTCGCCTGGTGTACAGGATGTCGTGGGTTCGATCCCGACCCTGACGCCTGCTGCTGTATATTTGGAGTTTGCGTGTCTCTCTCTTTCATCATCATCACGGTGGCTATGAGATGTTAACTACCTCGCCTGGTGTACAGGAGGTCGCGGGTTCGATCCCGACCCTGACGCCTGCTGCTGCTGTATATTTGGAGTTTGCGTGTCTCTCTCTTTCATCATCACGGTGGCTAGGAGATGTTAACTACCTCGCCTGGTGTACAGGAGGTCGCGGGTTCGATCCCGACCCTGACGCCTGCTGCTGCTGTATATTTGGAGTTTGCGTGTCTCTCTCTTTCCCCGTGGTCGTGTGGATTCCGGTTTTCCCTCCACGTTTAGAATTGACGTCACGCGTTTGGAGTGTTTGGCTGCGACACATTTCCACGTGATAAGCCACTTCGTTGAGCTCTCATTTGTGGCCAGGTCGCTTGTGGAAAAGAGCTCAACGCACTCAGTGGGCCTTACCTGGAACAATTCAAACAAGTTTAGTTTTAATGTGCGTAGCCAACCACGTACATGGAATGTGGCCCTTTATATATAACACGATGTAACACAATTTTTGTTGCTGGGTACTAATTGTTATATTTTTATTGCTTATGCCTAGAGAGTATATAATATGGCTATTATTATTCCTCACAAACTTTGCTTTTGTGACCAGGACTTCATGTGAAGGAATGACACAAATGCACACCACGTTTTTTCATTGAAAATAGGTCAATTTCAAAATATCACTGTCCTGGTCACAAACGCAAAGTTTGTGGGGAATAATAGCCATTTTCTTGTTCTTTTGAGGCATAAGCCAAATTAGGAAATAACATTTACTACCCAGGAACATATTTTGTTTTTGTTACACAGTATCATTAATGTACAGCGTTGTGGGAATACTGTTGGCATGAATGACGCTTAAATTATTATTATGAGCGCACAATTGCGCGGCCTAGGTGCATTTGGTCGAGAAATGGAATGGTTTAAAGCTTTCGTGACTGCAGAATATGAGAAATGGAATGGTGTTGTGGGCACTTCACAACCAGAAGCCAATCTCCCAGCACACGCGTCCACGCCTCCAGAGCCACAATCGTCTGGACACAATTGCTGGATCCGAGAAAGGCAACTTGAGTGGAGAGTCAACTGGAAAACAATTTTGTTTTGTTTAATTGACACCAAAGCGAAAACCGTGTGCGTAGGGTTTTGTATTACCGCCGGGAGTCCGTCCCCTCCCCCAAATCCCCATTTATTTATTTTTAGGCCGGAGCTTGCTGCAATGTTGACACGGGACGACGTTTTTTTTGCATTTGGGGCGCCTCTGACTCCCCCCCCCCCCCGACCGAACGCGCCCCGAGGTGTCTCGAACTCGCGAGGGTCGAGGAGGAGGGGAACGGTGACTCGCGCAATGAAAACAGACGTCATTAAAGCCGCCGAAAGTTACTGGAGCAATCGCTTTCCTCCGCGCAGGTCACCCCGGGTTGACATTTAACATTCAACGCGCTTGTTTGGAAGCCACAAAGACAAAGATCCACCGTATAGCCTTAGCAGACTGTTGGGGAAAGTGTTGTTAGCGAGCACCTATGATGGCCGGAACGGCACACGGGGGGGGGGGGGGGTGGTTGGCCAACACCACGCCCGGCCACCTTTGTCTCCCCAGTGGCAATGTTTTTACACACCAGATACTCACTTGAGGCTGGATCGACCTAGATGAGGCACAGGACCGGTTCAGCTAATCGCCACTGATGTTAGCCGTGAGCGGGAATCGAACTCGAACCGCTACGCTACCGCACACACAATGGCGACGAGCACGTGCACGCTTGCACGTGCTCGTCGCCATTTTTTTACGTTGTTTGCCAGAATGCACCAAGCTTCGAGTGCCACTGTCGAGCTGTCTCCTTCTCGTTTGCCACTGCGAGAAGGAGGAGGGGGGGGGGGGGCTGGGGGAGTCGTTCACGCGCCGCCGCCGCCAGCAAACGGCCGACTCGTTCGCCAACAGCAGCGACGCGCCGCCATTCTCGATCGAAATGGAAGCCCCGGGGGGGCTGTGATGACTGCGGTGAAGCCCACGCAGCGTGGAGAATCCGAATCTTTATTTAGACAGGCGGAGGTGGAATCTGATGAGCTATGAAGCTTTTTTTTGCACAGATGTCCCCATTGTGGGCCACGGGAGCGGGGGGTGAGCAAAGTTGTAACCAGTAAACGGTACAACAACAACAAAAACGATAGGAGTGCAAAATAGAGAAAATGGTAAGCAGGTCACTAAATATAAATAAGTAAATTAATTATATGCGTGCGATTCATCCAGATTGGGAAAGGCATCAGAAAAAACAACAACAGTCCCAAACACCGCACCAAGATAATAACACCGCAGCAGCAGCAGCCCCTCAACACAATGGCAAGACAACGAGTCCACAGACCGCACCACGCGGTGAGAGAGAGAGGGCCCAGATTGGGTGTGCTCATTAAACGTCCAGTGGAGCCAATCGCGTCCACTTGTGACGCGACCAAAGCATCGTGTCACGTGACCAAAGCGTCGTGTCACCGTCGACTGTGTGAGACTTTTAAAGTGGCCCTCTGTTTTGTTTTTTTGCCCACCCAAAGACGGAGGCAGCAGATGGCTGGTCACCTGCTAGTGGCGAAACAGAACTGTGTTAACGTAATAGATGGGGGGCCGTCCATAAATGACGTCACGCACCTAGGGGGGCGGGGGTCAGACATTTGTGACGATGTGTGAAGAGGGGGGGGGGGGGGCGGTTGAGAATTGTGACGTCACATCAAAATGCACAACTTTAAATAAATATAGACAACACGTTCTACTTAATTAAATATACGTTTTAAATAAATGTTTTCCCCTACAACATCAGAGTGCAGCGCCACATTAAATACGCACTACAATGACAATAGTTTAAAGCGATTTGAAGCATGTGGTTTTTTTGGGGAGGGGGGGGGCAGAGCTTTGTGACGTCATATTTGAGGGGGGTCTGAATTTGTGTGACGCCGTGTGACGAGGGGGGGGGGGGTCAAAAATCGTCAAAAATCGCGTGATGTCATTTATGGACGGCCCATACCTCACCGAGACTCTTTGCGAAACGGAATGCGTGTTGTACTAATTATTTTAGTTGTGTTTTTAAGCTCTCCCGGTAACCAAATGTGCTGAGCAGTGGGGGTTTTTTTTGCCATTCCTTTGAGATGTCGCCTCTGATCAGAGGATTGTGAACTGATGTCAAGAATCAGACCAGTGAGGTCGCTCCCGTCTCTACTGCACATATATAATCAAGGACTCAATTCACCCAGCCATCTGTGCTATAAACTCCCTGCTCCTGTTCAAGGCCAGGCTAAAGTTTGTCATTCCCCCCTCCTACCGCAATATAAATATGCAGAGTAAGAAGTCCCTGGGTTGGATTCCCGACTCGGGACACATTTTTGAATGGGCGTTGTATTGTTCTCCCCCTACTCTTTGGTTCTTTCGGTAAAGTCACGTAGGTAGAAAAAATAATAGATCAGGACGCTTCGATCGCAACAACAAGCGACCGTCTTCAGGTGCGAGAGAATCAGACTGCTGTGGACGAGGCATTGCATATTGACCCGATAGGAGGGAGGGAGGGGGGGTTGCCGCATCGGGCAAGAGGGTGGGGCCAGCGATTGTGAGAGATTCACGTGAGCATGAGAGTGTAATCTTTTGCACTATCATGCTCACATGTCTTACCTGCGTGGAAACATGCAGTCACGAAAGCTTCAAATCAATATTGTTCTCCCCCTCTTCTACTGTGAGTTTCCTCCGGGTTAACTGGGTTTCTTCCGGGTTATCTGGGTTCCTCTCGGCCACAGCTATAAGCCATGCAATGTAACCGGTATTGGCCAAACGCCGCGAAACTGATAACAAAATGAACCCGCAAATCGCTCAATCGAGAACGCGTCTCTTTCTGCTTCCTCTTTTTATTTTTCTCCACGCTGCTCCACTTTGGATTCACTGCCATCCGTCCGTTTTCCCACGTTTCTGTTTTTCAATGACCTTGCTCAGGTCACGAAACGTGTTCACGCTCATCCGTTACAACTTCAATCGTCCACGAAGAAAGTTTTCTGGGTTAGATTGCGTAAATATGAATGCGTCGTTTAACGTGCCGCCACCCGACACAGCCAATCGGTGAGGTTTGTCACGTAAACAAAATGTGATCATTCGTTACTAGTTCAGCACACCGGTGTGTTGAAACCCACAACATTTACAACTCGAGTACGACGTTTCGCCGGTAATTAAACTAGCATCATCAGGCGGACAGCCACAGTTGCGTGCCGTTTGTTTGCTCAGTTCTGCTCGACATTTTCGACCATTCGGCCTTGTGCTCAGCAACTGTGATTTAAGACGAAGGGTATTTCAATCTTGACTTAAAGCTTTCCTGACTGCAGGAATTCATATTCTTTTGGTCTTTCGGTAAAGTCACGTAGATAGGTTGTGTTGTGACCGAAACGTCGTAGTTTTTGGTTTATTTTATTTGAACCTATCTACGTGACTTTAACGAAAGACCCAAATTATATCACAGCATATTTACTTTACAACAACAAAGCACAGCAATATCATCATTGATAAAATCATTGTATATTATTATTTTTGTGTGTGTTCTAACAGGTACTGCCCGTGTCCATAAAACAGCCAATGTCCTGACAGCGCCCAGGCACGATGAATAGTTCCAACATCTCCAACAACTCCGTGTGCAAGTTGAACGAGTCGTACAAATTCATCTACCTGCCGATCGCCTACTCCATCTGCGCCTTCTTAGGGCTCACGCTCAACGGGTTCGTATTCTGGCGCCTCGCTTTCAAGACGAAGAAATGGAGCTGCAACTCCATCTACATCCTCAACCTGGCTGCGACAGACTTCCTCTACGCCCTCTCGCTCATCTTCCTGATCCACTGCTACATCATTCAGGACGTCTGGGTTTTCGGCGACTTAATGTGCCGCCTCATCCGATTCCTGTTCTACTTTAACCTCTACAGCAGCATCCTGTTTCTCACGGCCATAAGCATGTACCGATACCTCGGCATCTGCCACCCCATCTCGACCCGTGGCTTGCAGCGGCTGAGGTTCGCCGTTTCCATCTGCGCAATCATCTGGGTGTTCACGTTGTTGGAGACGGCGCCGTACCTGTACTTCGGCGGCGTCACCAAGTTGACCCCGGACAACGACGAATGCTGGGACTTCGTACCCGACAAGGCAGCAGAGCATCTGCCCTACGGCATCACTCTCACGGTGCTGGGCTTCATCCTCCCCTTCTTCGTCATCCTCATCTTCTACTCCTGCATCATCCACACACTGAAGAAGTCCTTGAACGAGGCCATCATCCCACAAACGCATCTGAGGACCAAGAGGAGGAAATCGATGTACACCATCGTGGTGGTGTTCACCATCTTCGTCGTCTGCCACCTGCCCTACAACATCAACAAGCTGATCTTCTTCCTGTACCAGGGCAACGTGACGGAATGCGGGGCCGAAGTAGTGTCCAAGGCCTACAAGGCGGTGCGTCCTCTGGCAAGCCTCAACTGCGCCCTCAACCCGACTCTGTACTTCGTGAGCTACTTCAGATCGCATCGGGGCAGACGCACGCAGCGTTTGGCCACTGTCAGGACCAACTATGGTTCGAACACTCCGTCGATCCCAAATAACACCCAGACATCTTCCTCTCCAATCGGCGACAAGTGAAAGAGGCGGGCGGCGGCGGGTTAAGCTCGCCCAGGTCACCTCACGTGGGTCTGCCACTTGAATTGTGAGCCACCTATGTCACGGAGGGGGTGGCCAACCTGCGTCTCCAGAGCCGCCTACATTCTGGCTCGTTGGCGTCCCGTTGGGGTTCTTCGTCTGTCGTATACCCGCTGCTGCGTGTGTGTACAAGCAGCTCTGCTTTGTGATGTGACTCTCGGACTATTTGGGTGAAAGACTAAAAAAAAAACAACTAAACGGCTCTTTTTATTTATTTAAAGCTTTTGTGACTGCAGGGATTCGTGTTCTTGGTTCTTTCGGTAAAGTCACGTAGAAGGGAAACAATACAATAATAAAATTAAATAAAAATTGTTTTATATATCTTTATTATTTAATTGTTTCCCTTCTACGTGACTTTACCGAAAGAACCAAGAATATAAATGGCTCTTCTTTGAAAGGCTGCGAACCCCTGACCTATGGCAATTTTGCATCTGCCGCATATGTCTTGCTGGCTCAGGTATTGTCCACAAGCACCGGGAACCAACAATTAAGGACTGCCCTGCAGTGCCCCTTGACCTCCAACCGATGCGGCACTGATGCAGTGCGGGGATCCGAAATGCATTCCTGCCATGCGAGGCCTCATAGAAAGAGAACGCACGCGTAAAATCTACCTAGTATGTGCAATCTGACCTGGATTATCGATTGCTGCTGTCATTTCTATTGGTGTAGTCTCATAGTTAGCACACTGAACACCCATAAAGAAAACATTGCACTCCGCAGACAGGGTTGCATTTACTTTTACGTAATGTGTTTATGTCCACTGGCTCTTGTTGTTAATGGTTCCTTGCTGCGGTGCAGTGGTCAGCACACTGCGACTTGCAATCCAGAGGTCGCCGGCTCGATTTTTAATCGATCTGAAACAACGGTGCAAGATTCTTAAATCCCCCTCCCCCAATCCCGCCCCTACACCTCTGTCCACCCAGTGGTATAAATGATGAACTACAGTTTTTCACACCTGATGATGATTGCTTGTGTTGCAGTCGAAACGTCGTGAGAATTGTATTGTTTTATATTTTTATTATTTTATTGTTTCCCTTCTACGTGGTGACTTTACCGAAAAAAACAAGAATATGGTATGACCATATTCGGGTGAAACGCGTGCCCTCTCGCCTGACAGGTCGCCATCTCCTGGTTTGACAGAGCGCACTGCAGTACGGCAAAGTTGATTTATTTTTCCATCCGCATTTGATCTGTGCGGGGTTTGAGTATTTCTCTCCTCTGCAACAATGGGTTTTTTTTAAATGTTAGCACCACGGGGAGCGATTTGGCAGTTATTGAGATGGACGAGTCCATCTATGTTCGGAAAAGAGGAGGGGGGAGACGAAAATAATGGATGCGGTCTAAAAGCAACCGTAAGCGTGAACAATCAATTAAGACCCGAAATGCTTTATCAAATCCTTCCAATGATTGCAAAGCCAGAATCCATCTTCTCGGTTGAAATTGTTTCACATATACAAACAAAGAGACAATTTGATCTGTGCGGGGTTTGAGTATTTCTCTCCTCTGCAACAATGGGGTTTTTCTCTGGGTACTTCGATTTTCTCCTACGTGTATAAACACTTATTAATACAGTTCGCCAAAGATCCCAATGTAGGCCCACAGACATTGGACAATTCTTGGCGGCGCAAGTTTAACGAAACAATTTTTACTCGACCATCAAAGCCCCACTGAGCTACGTAGCTTTTTTTTCAGAAGGGACCTGGCTACCACAGTTGATTGGCAGGTCATATATATGTATGTTGAACTTCTTTCACACCGTACGTAGTTAACAACGCTAATCGGAGGTGCGGGGTAAAGACAACAAATTTAACACAAAAAGCACTTCTCAAGAAGGTAATTTGTCAATCTGGATGATGATGTAAAAGTGGCATAGCTCCGGTGGCTTCCTAATATGGGAAGGAAGAGCGTTCCAGACGGCCGCAGAAGCGCATCTGAAAGCGCGCGATGCGATGACCGCCTTTGTTCGATGGTTGGCCAAAAGCCACTGACCGAAGTTCGCGTGATGGTTTTATGCTCCTTAACAAGATCACCAAGGTATTGTGGTTCATTTGTGGAAAGCACTTTGCGTGTAATGAGTGCGGGTACTCGCACCTCTTACAAGGTGTCTGGTCATAAAATCAAGGGCTCTGCAGAGCTCCCTGTAGAGAGGGGTACATTCAGCGCCGGATTATCCTAGTAGCAAAAGTAGCTACATGTGCTACGGGCCCTGCACTTTCAAGGGCCCCGCGCCAAATGCTTTCAAGCTATCCATTCCGGTTCAGTGATTCTGCACTTGCTCTATTACTATAGTACTATACTGCGCTCAACTTTTATGAACGACGGGGTGTTTAAGGTTAGCGATTTTTCGTATCATCTGGCTGTATAGCAGATGGAAAAAATACAATAACTTTACTATGCAAATAATAAAATTTGTGTTTTAATATTATATGTATTTTTTATTTTATTTAGGGCACCTTTATAACATATGCCACAGGCCTCGTACTGGCTTAATCCGGCACTGGGTACATTCATGCGTACTTGGCCGCCAGTAATTTCCAAACCGCTGTGTAAATATTTATTTATTATTACAAGAGTGCAAAGCTTGAGTGTCAGCCTTAACTGGTTTCTTTATCTGGCTTTGTGCCACGGCAAGGTAGCGTGTTGTCACCGCGATGCCACCCTGTCACACGGCGTCGGAACGATAGTCGTCTTATTAAATGCTTTCGCAATAGCAATTACGTGTGGTTTTAATAAGCTGCTTTCCGAGACCGATTGGTGTCGTTTTAGAAGTGTGGCTAACGATGTGCAATTATGTTTTTATATATATTTTTACAAAAGCCGTACGAATATTCCTTTAGTCGTGTTGTGAATTCAACCGGAGTATGTACTTTATCCGTCGCCATGCCTCGACACGAAAATCTTCTTTGCGATGTGCCCTTACATTGTATTTATTGTTGGCCGTGTTTCTGGAATCTAAATTTGAATTTTGAAAAAAAAGATTTGCATACCAAAAAAAATGTCAACAATGGCTCTTTACTTAAAGCTTGCGTGACTGCAGGAATTCATATTCTTTGGGTTTTTCGGTAAAGCCACTAAGATAGGTTCAAAGAAAATAACAAAAAAAACTACGACGTTTCGATCGCAACACAAGCGGACGTCATCAAAAACTGTTTAGAAAGGTTTAAAATTAACGTAGCGTAGCCCATTTTAAACCTTTAGAAGCTAACTCCCTTTCCCTGATGACGACCGCTTGTGTTGCGATCGAAACGTCGTAGTATTTTGTTATTTTATTTGAACCTGTGACTTTACCGGAAGACCCAAAGAATACCAACAATGACGTTTATATGTGTAGTCTTAAACAAAAAAAAGTGGTATTCTTGGTTATTTCGGTAAAGTCACGTAGAAGGGAAATAAGATTGTTGAAAAAAGTAGCCACTTTAAAAAAAATAATTTTGCTGTGGTTTTCACACCTCATTATGATTGCTTGTGTTGCAATCGAAATGTCGTGAGAATTTGATTGTTTTATTTTTATCATTTGATTATTTCCTTTCTACGTGACTTTACCGAAATAACCAAGAATATGAATCCCTGCAGTCGCGAAAGCTTTAAATCGAAAAAAAAAGTAGATAAAGAAATACTGGGATTAAATATATGTTGCGTGATTATGGCTCCGCATTAGTTAGTTAATCCTATTCATCCCACTGTGGGACATGAAGCTGCAATGAGTTCCCTCCACTTCTTCCTGTCCTTAGCAACATGTTGAGCCTCGCCCCAAGAGAGGTTGACTGCTGATACCAGCTCATCCTTCACGGTCTTGCGCCACGTGGCCTTGGGTAGGGCCTAGTATCCAAAAGGCCACTGTAGGCAATATGCCTTGGGCCTACTCACTCACCCAGCCACCAACTCACTCATTCACCCACTCACAAATTCACTCACTCACCCAGCCACCAACTCACTCATTCACCCACTCACAAATTCACTCACTCACCCAGCCACCCACTCACTCATTCACCCAGCCACCCACTCACCCAGCCACCAACTCACTCATTCACCCACTCACAAATTCACTCACTCACCCAGCCACCCACTCACCCAGCCACCAACTCACCCAGCCACCCACTCACCCAGCCACCCACCAACTCACTCATTCACCCACTCACAAATTCACTCACTCACCCAGCCACCCACTCACCTAGCCACCAACTCACCCAGCCACCCACTCACCCAGCCACCAACTCACCCAGCCACCCACTCACCCAGCCACCCACCAACTCACTCATTCACCCACTCACAAATGCACCCACTCACCCAGCCACCCACTCACCCAGCCACCAACTCACTCATTCACCCACTCACAAATTCACTCACTCACCCAGTCGCCCACTCACCCAGCCACCAACTCACCCAGCCACCCACTCACCCAGCCACCCACCAACTCACTCATTCACCCACTCACAAATTCACTCACTCATCCAGCCACCCACTCACCCAGCCACCAACTCACCCAGCCACCAACTCACCCAGCCACCCACTCACCCAGCCACCCACCAACTCACTCATTCACCCACTCACAAATTCACTCACTCGCCCAGCCACCCACTCACCCAGCCACCAACTTACCCAGCCACCCACTCACCCAGCCACCCACTCACCCAGCCACCCACCAACTCACTCATTCACCCACTCACAAATTCACTCACTCACGCAGCCACCCACTCACCCAGCCACCAACTCACTCATTCACCCACCCACCAGGGCCATATTATCCAAGAGGCCACATGAGGCACTGTGCTGAGGGCCTACAAGAACCCAAATCTGGCCCTGGTCTTGGTCTTCCAGGTTTCCTTTTACCCGGTGGTGTCGATCTCAGGACATTTTTTGGTATACGGCCAGGACCACTGAGCTACGTAGTTCCCCGAGTTATTCGGGTAGACAATTAGCTGTGCCCATGCTCCCCTTTTAACGTGCTCGCCGGTATAATTATTACGCGCTCCTCAATCATCGAGGGTCAGCGACGTGGTGTCAACGTGGCCGTGTTATTAAAATAAAAACAATAAACGCTGATGACGCATTCTACGTTTTCGGCCACATTCTAAACGTAACTATTTTTTACGTCACCAGGTAAGGCCCCACTGACCTGCGTAGCTCCATTTCAGAAGCAACCTGTCCACAAATGATAGCTCAACGAAGTGGCTTGTCGCGTGGAAATTTATAGCAGCCAAATTACTCTAAACGCACAT